AACCCCCCCACCCCAGGATGTCCCACCCCAAGCTACGGCCATGAAGGTCTCCTGCCCCACCGCCCCCCCCCCCCCCCCGCTAAGCCCTCCCACAACTCATCACACATGACAAACCCCAACAAACCCTTTATGAAGGATTCACCGGCCAGTGCTGCCCATCTCCGGCACCAGGCCTGGGGACGTGGTGGCACTGGGAGAATTAGGACACCCCCCCGGTGTCACCCTGAGCTCTCACCCCGCAGCTCCAGCTCATCACTTACCTCCTCGTCTGCAGCGGTGGCCAGGAAGGGGTTTGCACCGGAGGTAGTGAAGGATGGCAGCGGGACCGAGCAGAAACAAGTTTTTCCATCAGAAGCGATTGAGGTTTTGCAGGGTCCCCTGCTAAGCCCTCTCTGTCCCCCCCACTCCAGGTCCCTGTGTCCCCCCTCAGCATCACCAGCCAGGTCGGGGTTGGGCCCCACATGTCCCCAGTTGGCAGGAATGGGTGGGGGATCAGGGAAGGCAGTGATGCTGCAGGGAAGAACGGAAAAGCCGTGTCCCCACTGTTGGGTTTAATAATGCCATGTTTACGTAGACCTTAAAAAAACCTCCAGCGAGCGATGGGGCAACACGCGGCACACGGGATTTCTCTGCCGGGCTTTGCCCAGGGCGAGTCGGCGTGCCTCTCATCAGCCCCAATGGGGGCTGATGAGAGGCACGCCGACTCGCCCTGGGCAAAGCCCGGCAGAGAAATCCCTGTAGGGGGAGAGGGAGCTGGAGGAACAGCCCCTTCTCCCCATCCCCACATCCAGCACCCCCACCCCATGCCCCAGCAAGAGGGGAAGCTAAGGCAGGCGGGTACCAACCCGCCAGTATCGTCCTCGGTTCCCCCACGGGGATTTCTGGGGTCTGGATTCGCCCCGTGGAGCCATCAGGTCTTGGTGACCCGGTGGCACGTGCGCTCCAAGAAGGTAGCTCCTGCTCTCGGCCCAAATCACAGAAGCGGGGCTCAAGCTGCTCCTGGACCGTGTAACGTCCCCAGTCCTGAGCTGGAAGGATGGACGCTGTTCTCAGGGGATAAATGGTTGCTCTGGGGACAGTGCCAACCATGACAGAGACCCTGCAGAGCCAGGCACCAGGCATGGCATGGTGGATGAAAGCGGTGTAGGATAGGAGAGGTCTCGGGTCGTCTCTAGTCCGGCCTCTGCTCAACGCAGGGATGGCCAGAGCCACAGAAACGCTGGTGGAAAGGACTCTGGAAGTGCCCACTGCCACCTCCCGCTCACCGCCAGAAAATCCTCCAGTGTGGGTGAGCCTTCCTACAGCCAAGGATGGGGACCTGTCCCCACGTCCCTATGGAGCTGGACACCTTGTCTGAACCCCAACGACCCCTCTCCAGCTCCCCATGTCACTATGGAGCTGGGCACCCTGGTGGGATCCCAGCAACCCTTCTCGAGTTCCCCACATCCCTACAGAGTTGGGTGCCCTTGCTGGACCCCAACGACCCCTTCTTCAGCTCCCCATGTCCCTGTGGAGCTCAGTATCCTGGTGACATCCCAGCAACCCTTGTCTCCAGCTCCAGACATCCCTATGGAGCTGGGTACCCCAAATGGACCCAGTTTCTGGACCACTGGTTTCTGTGGCAGCTCCTCTCTTTGCACATCTCAAGCCTCGTGAGCACCCTACTGCCCATCGCTCCCCTGCCCACAGGCAGCCACTGTCCCCCCCCAGGAAGGTCCCCTCAGCACTGGTGGCCACCCTGCTGAGATGCCAGGGGAAGGCACGCTCTCCCTCCCACCCCATCACCCAAACTTACCCATGAAGAAGGCGATAAACCAGCTGGCTGATGGCTCATCTCCATCATCGCAACTGGAGCTGGAGCTCTCAGTCTGGGCCTCGTGCGGGAGGATGGTGGGGGAGGCTCTGCCGAGCAGCACTGGCTTGGCCATGTCCTTGCCAGAGCCACCAGTGTCTTTGGCCACCGCCTCGGTGACACTTGGCTGCTGGCCCCCCAGCGGGGACGTGGGACCTGGGGACACCCGGCTCCCTATCTGCAGCAAGGGGCCCCACGGCGAGCCAGGGCGGGGCCTGGGCAGAGC